TGACACTGCCTGAGAAGCCTTTAGATGCCAAGAAAGGTCAATAGATGTTAAAAACTTGGAGAGAGGCCTACAGGAGTCACATGGCTGTGCCTCTGATTTGGAGCATCTAGAATTGTGATAAAATAAATGTCTGCTCTTTAAAGCCATTAAAGCCACCCCCTTTTGGTATTTCTTTTATGGCAGCACTCCCAACTAAAGCAGGAAATAGAGTATGAGGCAGGCTAAGGAAGTTGGCTGACACAGGACAGGAGTTTCAGGAGGAAGTAAATTCCTCTATCATGCAGGTCTGTTCACGTTGCAAAAGAATAGAGAACCAACTGGAAACAGACACTAATCAAGTGAGATTTGTTGACACACACACAAAAGGACATTCTGCTCAAAGCAGATATTTTCTACTAGTTAAATTGAACTCTAGGTTATTTTGTTGTTTAGTTTTAAGACATGGTGGATATTTTGTTTTAAAGTTTGACGATCATCTCAGGTCAATAGTTTCAGGAATTCTTCCTACTTTCATGGATCCAGGAAGTCTGGAGTCCAAGTGAATTTGAACTTCTGGTCTACATTTCCCCAGTTTGGAACAGAATTTCCCGTGAAGTCTTTTATTGGTTAGTAGAGGTTGCTGGACCCGTCCATTTCTTCTGGTCTCACGGTGAAGGAAGCACCCATGGAGCAACTGTCCTGTTCATTTCTGACTCCATCATGCCCCACTTTTCCAGGCAAATCAAACTCAAAACTCATTGCTTGTGAGTCCGAAGTAAGTCATAGCTGACTCACCAGGTTTCCAAGGCTGTAAATCACAAGGAAGGCGATTGCTAGTTCTTCACTGGAAAGCCATTGGTGTATTTGAACCGCTAGAGACATGAGGCCTTGGAGCTAGCAGTGCAGCAGCCTGTGGACTAGGCCATGAGAGCTCCCTGCAGGCAGATAGTTTTGTTATTAGTAAGAACCATCACGTCAGACTCGTAGCTGACCCTCCAGCAGGTTTTCAGAAGCAGTGACTCACACAGGAGGAGATTGCCCATCTTTCTCACTTGAAGCAACTGGTGGATTTGAACTATGTGCTTTATGGTTGGTAGGGCAACTCTTTACCACTAAGCTACCAGCGTTCCAAGTAAATAGAGACTAGTTGTTATGCCTTGAAGGGCTTCTTAGAAGGTTTTTTTGTTTTGTTTTGTTTTTTAATTTTTATTTGTATTATTTTTGTGTGAGTGTACCATCAAATCAGATCTGACTGGTACAGGAGGAGACTGTCCCTCCTTCCCCGGCAGAGCACCTGGTGAATTCGAACCATGTGCCTCTGGGATTGTAGTTGCAGCTCCTTGCCACTAGGCCACCAGAGCTCCCCTAGAAGTTTTTTTAAAAATCACAAAATAGTGGCCTAGTGGCAGAAAGCTGCACTGCAGTCCCAGAGGTTCGTGGTTTAAAATCCACTAGATCCTCTGCTGGAGAAGAGGGACAGTCTCCTCCTGTACCAGTCAGATATGATGGTACACACAGAAAATAATAAATTTTTTTTTCTATAATTATATTTTATTAATTTTCATAAACATTTACAGAGATTTTGGGCTTCCACTCATTCATTGTTGCTCTATTCTTTCTACCCTCCTCCCAGTTTGTTCTTGTCCAAATGCCACAGTGCTTGTCAAAGCCAGTTCTGATTAATCTTCTTTGTCAGTGTATCCTTTGCCATTCCCTATCACTCCTCCCTGAGAGAGACTTCACCCTGAATCATAAGGAAAAGGGGATGGCGTATTCTCTTAGCTACTTCCTGCTGAAAAGGGACGCTGTGGGTTTCAGGGTGAAGATCTTCTCTCACTACTCTAAAGGGCCCCTTTGGCAGTAGGAAACACATAGACTTTTATGGAGATTGATTTTGGAATTCAGATGCACTCTTATTGATTGTGCTTGGCTGTACATGTACATATCCTTGAAGATGTATCATGGGGGTGTTGCAACCTAGAAGACACAAATTTGACTAACAAGTTATAAGTACATGAGTCAAAAATTATGGAAAAGTAAAAGAAAAGATTCTTTCATTGTTTTACAAACCCTCCCCCAGATCCCCTCCACCATGCAGCCCTCGCTCTAGTCTCCTGTGATGACAGAAATACCCAGTTACATCTCTCTTTTAAACGGTTCTCTCCCTCCTCTGTTTCAGTGCAGTATAGATTATTGAACCCATCTTACTCAGTCTCTCCCCAACCCCAAGGACAGTCCCATTCGACAACAGTGGCATCATGTAATATTTGTCCTTTTGTGACTGGGATATTTCACTCAGCATAATGTTCTCCAGAGTCAACCATTTTGAATAATATTGCATGAGTTCCTTGTTTTTTAATGCAGCATAGTATTCCATTGTGCGAATATACCACAGCTTCTCTAGCCATTCGTTTGTTGATGGGCACTTAGGTTGTTTCCAACTCCTTGCTATTGTGAACAAAGCTGCAATAAACATGGGTGTGCATATATCTGCTTGGATGTCAGCTATGGTCTCTTCAGGGTATATTCCCAGTAGTGGAATTGCTGGGTCAAATGGTATCTCTATTTGCAACTTTTTGAGAAAGCGCCATACTGCTTTCCACAGGGGTTGCACCATTTTACACTCCCACCAACAGTGAATCAGGGTTCCAGTTTCTCCACAACCTCGCCAGCATTTGTTGCTTGCTGTTCTGTTAAATTTTGCTATTTTGACTGGGGTGAAATGATATCTCATAGTTGTTTTAATTTGCATCTCTCTTAGGGCTAGGGATTTTGAGCATTTCTTCATGTGTTTGTTAGCCATCTGAATGTCGTCTTCGGTGAAGTGCCTGTTCATATCCTGTGCCCATTTTTCTATTGGATTAAGAAAATAATAAAATTTTTTAAAAAAATCACAAAATAGGGGAGCTCTGGTGGCCTAGTGGCAGGAAGCAGCACTGCAATCCCAGAGGCGCACAGTTTGAATCCACCAGATGCTCTGCCGGAGAAGGAGGGACAATCTCCAGTACCAGTCAGATCTGATTTGACGGTACACACACAAAAATAATAAAATAAGTATTTAAAAAAATCACAAAATAGGCAGAAGAGAAGCTCTAGACATGTCATTAGGCCAGGTAACTAGGATGCCCTAAACCTCCAAAACAAATCCCATCAAGTTTGGGTTGTACATAAGGAGCCTCTGAAGTTACTCTTTTTTGTTGTTGTAAATATATTGAAGCTTTTACAAATTTAGATTTTTACTAATATAAAGCTTATTGACAGCGTTTATAGTAATCAGCTGGGCACTTCTCCTTTTTTTAAATTGATTTTCATTCAGCCACTTATGTTTGGTTTTATAACAATAATTCCAATTGTTATAAATAATTGTTGTAAATAATACCATTATTTACAAAGCCCTGTCACAGGACTCTCCCTTTCTGGTCTATTTTTCTGTTTTTAAGAGCTTCCACAGTGTTTCTCACAACAGTTGTACTATTTTGTGTTCCCACCAGCAATGGATAGGATTCCAATTACCCCACATTCTCTAAAATTTGCTAGAAAAAATAGCATTTGCTATTTTCTGTATTTTCCAAAAAAAAAACTTAGAGTGAAATGGTATCTTGCCCCATTGTTTTCTTGAACCCCATTCTTACAGCAGAAGCTGAAGGCTATCAGGCTTGTATGAGGTGGATGGTGCACCCTCTCCTGTGGGCTCCTTCCTGAAGGGAGGCTGGGGTGCCATCCTGCCTGGCATCAGCACCTCCTTGGCCTGAGTTTACACTAATGCCTGAAAGGACAGTCCTGGGAGTCACCACATCCAAACTGTTTGCCCCCTAGATAAAAAACCCAACCTGCTGCTGTCAAGTCAGCTCAGCCACGTGATGACCCAACTTGCTATCAGTCCTCCAAGGCTGTAAATCTTTATGGAAGGTCTGGGTATCTTGCCAGAGCCTTTCGGATGCTTTCCAGGGACTCGAGCTGGGAGGGCAAGCACAAGCACCCTTAAGATGTGTGCTGCGTTGGGCATGGCAGTGAGCAGGGTCAGGACCTCCAGGTTGTAAAGAGCAGATTGGCTTTGAAGGGGATCTTTTAGATTCCAGAGACTGTGCTTTTTCCAGGTGACAACCATCTTTTTTGCTCAAGTGGCTAAGAGGTAAGGAATTGTGCTGCCAACACAGAGGTACGCAGTTTGAACCCATCAGCTGCTTCACAGGAGAAAGATGAGCAATTTCCTCTCATGTGATTTATTGTTTGCTTTTGAATTGGTACATACATGGGAGGAGATTGTCCGTCCTTCTCAGGGAGCTGCTGGTGGATTTGCACAGCATGCCTTTGAGATTGCAGGACGGCTTCTTACCACGAGGCCACCGGAGCTCCCGTGTAATTTACTGCCTTTGAAAACCCACTAGAGGATCAACTATGGGTTGGTTCTTATTCACCAGTGCACAGCCAACCACCACCCAGCTTTTTATGAAAGAGTAGAGTTGTCTCTAGCCCTCAGAGAACCCTGCAGCAGCCCAGACAGGAGTTGATCTGGATAGAGTTGTGGATGCTTTGTCCCTCTGTAGAGAGCTCTTCCCTTTGGTCCTCCGCTGCCTGCTGCCCTTGCTGGCCACGTAGGCGTGCTGCTGTCCATTCAGTTCACCTTTCTCCTGTGGAATGACTGTTGACAACAGAGCTCTTTAATAACTGCCACCAGGGCCTTTCTGTCCTGAAAGTTTCTAAAATTATTTGTTCTCACCTTGAGAGGGACTGAGTGAATGAATATTTATCAGATACCATCACACTTTCTCTTTAGTCCTCCCAGTGACCAGAGGGCCAGCAAGACTGCAGTGCAGAAGCCCCACTTTCCCCACCACAAGTGTGCAGCTCACCTCCCGGAGCCCCGCCTCCCCCCCACCCCAAGAGTGCAGCCACGTGGTTGGGGAGTTTCTTGCCCTGAGCCCAGACCTTCGGTCCTTGAGGCCCCCCCCCACTGGGATTCCAGTGTGTCTGGCCACAGCGATTCCAGCCCTATTTTGCTTTCCCTGTTGCAGAGGAAGTCGAGCAAAGCCAAGGAGAAGAAGCAGAAACGGCTGGAAGAGCGGGCAGCCATGGATGCCGTCTGTGCCAAAGTGGACGCCGCCAACCGGGTGACTGCCTGCCTCCCTGCCTCCCTGCTGCGGCCGCAGCCGCTGCCTTTCATTTGACTTCTTTTGGTGCCGCTCTGTGGCAGAGCTGTGTAACTGCTGCCCAGTGCCGAGGGATGCTGTGCGGGGAACCAGCCAGAGTGGAGGGGCCTGGGGAGCTGCTGCCTTCAAAGAGCCTGCTACTCTGACCGCACTTTGCCAACACCCCCTTTTTTTTTACTGTCTCCACAGCTTGGCGATCCTTTGGAGTCTTTCCCAGTGTTCAAGAAATATGATCGGAATGGGTGAGTCAATAAACTGTTGTGCCTTTGAGTAGCTCCAGAAATTCACCTTTCAGAAGGAGACACTGATTTTCTTATTTTTCTTCCTTGAGAAGAAACAGAAACTGTGAATGGTGCCTAAGGGTGACAGAACACCTTGCTCCACCCCACCCTGATTAAAGTAATAAAGGTGACTAGAATGATACTTCATCTCAGACTGGTGTCATTTTAGAATTATGAGTGCAGTCCTTAAGTGCTTGGGTGCTAACTGAAAAGTCAGTGGTTGGAACCCACTACCCACTCCATGGGAGAAAGATGTGATGGTCTCCTTTCATAAAAATTTTTCTAAATTTATTGTACCTCCACCAAGTCCATTCTGACTCATAATGATCCGTTGTTGTTGTTGTTGTTGTTGTTGTTGTTGTTTGGTGCCGTTGAATACGACTTACAGTGACCTGGTGAACAACCAATCTGAAAACACTGTCTTATCCTGTACCATCCTTACAACCTCTGACACACTCAAGCCCATTGCCACAGTCACCGGGTCAACCCACCTGGCTGAGGGTCCTCTCGTTCGCCGCCCCTCCACCTTCCCAAGCATGATGTCCCTCTGACTCATAGGGTTTTTCTCACATACTTTACACAACTTTTGAGCAGGTCCAATCTTGGGAGAAGATGCCGTACTGAGAAAGATGGAGGACCAGAGAAAAAGAGAAACAACAAAATGAATTGACACAGTGGTTATAACAATGGGCATATCCAAGTAAGGATGGTGCAGGATAGGGCAGGGTTCAGAGTTGTAACTGACTTGAGGGCATATAATAATCTTTATGGAAGCCAATTCCCTTATCACTTTCCCATGAAGCAACTGGTAGGTTTGAACTACTGATCTTTAGATTAGCAGCCAATCACTTAACCAGTGCACCTTCACAGTCTTGGAAATCCTGTAAAGTGGTTGTACTCTGTCTTGTAGAGTCTCTAGAAATTGGATTAAAGCTACTCCTTGGAGGCAAGGATTCTGAAGCTCCATCTGACATACTTTGGGCATGTTGCAAGGAAAGACCAGTCCTTGGAGAGGGACATCATGCCTGGGAGGGCGGAGGGACACCATAGGAGAAGAAGACCCTCAATGAGGTGGATTGATTCAGTGACTGGGGTAATGCGAGTAGGTGTGTCTGAGACAGTAAGGTTGGCCTAGGATAGAGCAGGGTTCAAAGCTGTTGTACATAGGGTTGCTGTGAATGCTTGCAGCACTAACAACAACAACAAAATCGGAGCTGAAACAAAATTACAAAACCATCTAGTCTGACACCCTTGTTTTTCTGGGAAGGAAATTGGCCTCAAAGAAGTTGAATAATATTTCTATGCTTATCGACTGACAGTTGAGGTGGCTTATAATTCCTATCCAGTGACCTCTCCATGACAGTGTAATTGTTAAAAGCCATTTAAATAACCTCTGTGCCTCAATTTTTGTAACCAGAAATGAGCCTGATACTAGTTATTTCCTTTTAGAGTTGTTAGGAAGCTTGGATGTAATGCTGCTTCTAAAAGCTGTGTGACTGCTCTTACTGTAGTTGTGGTATTGATCCAGTTTGCTGTCGGATCAGGGTGAAACCCCCCTCTGTTCTTCTGGTTTGCAAAATAGGATCTGTAATCTGTTCTACCTGAGGTGCTGTTGACAAGGCATGTTGCTGTCACATAACATTTTGGCTTAGATAGAAACATGGGTTATGGTTTTAGGGAAACCTGGCTTTGAATCATAACTCTGCCTCCTGTTAAGGCCACAAAACCCCTTGAATCAGGCCGAGTTTTGTTCTGTTGTACATTGAGTCGCTCTGAATGGGAATCGACTCCACAGCCCCTAACAACAGCATGCCCCTAAAGAAGTCCCTTCTCACCTTCATTCTCTTAGCTGCTAAAATAGTGTCAGGAAGTCAAACCTATAAGATTCTTTTAAGGAAGAAAAAGCATACATGCAGTATACTGTTGTTACCCTCAACACTCTTCTCCAGCACCACAATTCAAAGGCATCAATTCTTCTTTCACCTGTAGTCCAGCTCTGTGATGCAAATAATGGCAAAAATGATGGCCTGGATCAGGCACACCCTAGTCTCCAGACTGACATCGTTGCTCGTTAGCACTCTGGAGAGATCCCTGACAGCAGATTTTCTCAGTCAGTGCAATTCATCTTTTCCTTTCCTGACTGCAGCTGCCTAGAGTGTTGATTGTGGAATCAAGCATGGTGAAGTTGTTGACAATCTCTCTCTCTTCTCCATCTATAATGTTCACTGCCATTTGGCCCAGTGGTGAGAATTTTTGCAGTGTCTACACATTGTCAAATTGGAACTGACTTAGAGCTGACCCTCTAGCAGGTTTTCAGAGGCAGTAAATCGCACAGTACAGGCTTGCCTATCTTTTTCTTTCTGAGAAACAGGTGGATTTGGACTGTTTACCTTTTGATTGGCAGCACAGCTACTTATTTCAAAGTCGGAGCTCCCTCATCCGATATGAGTATTTTAATGAACAAGTTATTGCCAGCCACATTCAGTTTGGCCTCATGTACAACAGAGCAAAATCGGCCTGGTCCTGACCCTCCCTGTGGTTGCGTAGATATTGGACTGTTGTGATCCATAGCTGTTCTTTGGCTGATTTTTGAAAGTGGATTGCCAGTCTTTCCTTCCTAGACGTGTCCTCATCTGGGAGCTCCCCTGACATCTGTTCAGCATCTTAGCAACACACAGACCTCAGCTGATCTAGGGTACCAGCTGCACTGCTCAGGAGGCTAAGCTCCTCTGTAAGCGTTTCACCACTAAACCACTAGAACCTCGCACATACGCAAATTATGACGCAAAGACTTCAACAGGTAAAAAGACGTTTGTTTTTTCAGTTGTGTGAGTTCAGTGTTGTTATTCTTGTTAGGTGCTGTTGAATACAGCTCAAACTGAACCCTGTCCTATCCTGTGCTGTCCTTGTCATCTTACCACACTGAGCCCATTGCTGCAGGCCACCGTCAGGCCAGCTTGTTGCAGATCTTCTCTCTTTCTCTGATCCTCTACCTTTCTGTGC